AGTACATTTTCTAGGATCTACAAAAAAAATCTAACTAACTTACTAACATTTAAAATAAAATAAATAATATAATACATATTATAATAATTTTATTATGTTAGATAAGGTTTAAATTATATAACAATTTAAGTAATTTTTGTTGTTAAAGCACTTTTAACTCCAATATTGCTTTGAGATTAAAAAAACTACATATAAAAACGTAAAGAAAACCCAATCCAACTTTCTAAATCAGAAGTGTCTCTAACTAAGGAGGACACCTCTGTTGTCGAAACGTATTTTTAAATGCTTTCGTGTGGAATTTTGGATTTTAGTATTCACTTTATAAAACTACATTCAATTTACTTCCCTTAATCGATTGATTTGTTATCTTAATAAGTTTACAAATTAATTTTCCATCTATGGTGAAATTTTCTCAATACTTTGCGTGATTGAGTGATTGTTTTGACTTTTAGTTGGGAAATCACGATAACTCTAGAGTAGCCACCCGCCTTGGCCTTGGAAATGCGGATGGATTCAACATGTTGATAACCCTTCTGCCAGGTATAGCTGTCGCATATAACGGAGAAGAAATTGGAATGGAAGATGGAGATGTAACGTGGGAGGAAGGGCAAGATTCAACCGCTTGCAGTGGACTCGAAGCAGATTTTCAGAACACAAGCAGAGATTTTGAGAGGACTCCATTCCACTGGGACTCTACAGTTAACGCAGGATTTAGCACAGCGAATAAAACTTGGTTGCCCGTTAGTGCAAAATACAGAACAAACAATCTTGAACTACAAAGTAGAGATGGAGTAAGAAGTCATTTCCATCTCTATCAAGCTCTGATGAAATTGAGGAAAGAAAATACGTTCATTTTTGGAAATTTGAACATAGAGGCTTTAGCTCCAAACGTTTTGGCGTATACGAGGGAACTGGATGGTAACGACACCTATGTGTTTTTATTTAATAAAGGAGGTGAATCTGCTACAGTATCACTATCTTCGTTTAAATCTATCACTGGGAACGTGAAAGTAGTTCTAACCAGTACCANTCCGGACTATGCCGGAAGGTAGGGCGGAAGGCCCTCTTCAGCCTGTTTTCAGGAATCGTGGGAATGGGTGGGTGGTGGTTCGGGTGATAAAGATCAGACGGACGAAATGAAGACAGAAGAGAGTGAAAGATTATCTGTGGAATATTACTGCCTCAGCATTTGCCTAAGTGATCTAAGGAAACCACAGAAAAACTTGGACCAAGGCAGGCTAACCCGGAATTGAACAAGCGTCCTCCCGAATGCTAAGCAATGGTCTAGATCTCTAGGCCATGCCGCTCGGTAATAAAAAAAAAGAAGTCACTTCTATGCTTACGAACGGTTAATTTAAAAATTCGGAAAATATTGTTAAAGGAGTATGATGGAGCGCGGCGCTGTACATGTGCGGAACATGGACGGTGGGTGCAGAGTAGAAGAAACGATTAGAAGCGTTTGAAATGTGATACAGGCGAATGATGGGGATACTGTGCATAGAGAAAGTTAGAAATGAAGAGGTATTAGAAAAAATAGAAGAACAAAGGACTGTATGGAAGTCAATAAAAAATATGCGAGATAGGTTGGTAGGAATGGTCTAGTTAGAAACATATTAGAGGCAGAAATAGGAGTTAAAAAGAGAATAGACAGACCTAGATTAGATTACTGTTCGTAAATAGTTAAGGATGTGGGATGTTCTAGTTTTAGGGAAATGAGAAGATCAGCTTAGAATAGGAAAGAGTTGAGGTGCATGTCCAATCAGTCTTAGGACTGACGACCTATGATATGATGATATTGCAGGAAATTGCTAATACATTCTCTTGTAAGTGAAGGAAATACTGGTAGATATTTTTTTCACATACGCATGTATAAAAAGGATGCAATTCTTACATGTAGATGTACTAATATTTATCCATCTAATGCGAAATTGTGCCGGTTATTGAAAATCTCTGTTTCTAGGGTGCTCATGACCGAGGGATATACAGATATAAGCACCACTATGTTATATTACGGCAATGAGACAGCTGATGGGGCTCACTTTACATTTAATTTCTTTTTTATAACCAATACTACATCTAGAAGTACTGCCAATGAAATCGCCTCAGTGATAAAAAGGTGGTTTCAATATATGCCAAATGGACGTGTTCCTAATTGGGTGGTAAGAATTATCATAGAAATATTTTATTCAAAAGCTATAATTACTGTTTTAAATTTTATAACCGATTCAATATTTAAAACACTAACATTTTAAATTACATATAAGAACGATTGACTATTCTTCCTCTATTTTATATTAAGTTTTTTTTAATTAAAAGCAATATTGGGGTTAAAATGCTT